TGGCGTCCAGCAGGCGGGGATGGGGAAGTCAATACTTGTCAAAAAAATGTGCTCATTGGCGCATATCATTGTATCTATGTTTTGGGTTCCTTGTTTAATGACAATGAGTTCAAGAAACTTTGTCACTATTGTTTTCTCAATCTCCAAAACCTGGTCCCCCGCGAGGATTTTTAGCCAACAGAATTTCATCAGCAGCAGTAGCTTGCTGCACCATGGCAGTGGCATCTCCCAATACTTTTGCTTCCGATTTATTGTTGGAAGCGTGGACAGGAGTTTTTATGGTGAAGCGAGAGTGCTACCTCAAAATAGACACAAAAGAATACTTTATGTCATGTGGATTTTTCAAGTGGGCGTCCATCGTGCTTCCCTTGGAGCTTGAGCAGATTGACGGGGTATCGTATTTGATGCCATGTTCTAAGCTGGACTCAGTGAAGTGGTGTGTTACAAACACCATTGAAGAGGTCCTACATGTTCCCACTGAAGTCCGACCGCCGTGTGCTTTGCCCTTGAAACTCGCTCGGAGATGTTGTTGCGCAATCGCAGTGACTGGTGAACACCAACAAGTTCTGCGTCCCGCATTCAGTGGCTTGTATTGAGCTAGAAAATGTTGTAGTCATCTCCCGCACCCCAAAAAAGTGATTTCTTCAACATGTAACAAACATGGTGCATGGGTTTCACAAAAAATAGACATATAATACACTATATATATAATATATATCATATCAAATTGAATCACACAATTATGTTCTGCTAGTGATATGTTTGCGCAACCAAACGGTTAGGAAAAGGCTGCAAAATCACTGTTCAGCAGCTCCAGCAAGTGATTATGATGCTTCGTTTGGATTTGCCCAGTGAGGGAAGTGGCGCAAAGGGCAATCTTATCAAGGAAGACTATTGTCGAGTCGTTCTCACATATTTGATGCTCGTCGGAATAAACAAGCTATGTTTTTGATTTATGAGCTAACTTTTCCACACACCAGTATTATTTGGGAACGGTGAGGTGAAAACCACGGACGGCCCTCGCAGTCAGATCTCGTCCAACATGCCTTCAGGTTTCCAGACGAGCCCATCGAGGAGATGTTGACAAAGATCCTTGGCAAAAGGAAAAAGTCTGAGAATGCCGAGGACGATGATGATCCGACCAATGCTGCTGATGATGATGATGATTGTACAGCTGAGGATTCTGGACAAGCATTTATTGATTAGCATGTGGATAGGGAGATGTAGGGAGTAGGTAGGGCAGAGGCAAACTTGTTGCTCTGGGCCACCTCTGAACCCCCTCAATCTTCCCTCAAAACCCACTCGAAAGGCAAACATGGTGTGTGGTGGACGGATTTCTTTTGTTGTTGACTAGGGCTACCTTGAAAACCACTCGATGAAGCAATCCTATACAGTTTGTCAGTCAATTTCCTATTGTTTTTTTGTCCCCAGGGCCGCCTCAAAATCCCCTTCACTTTCTGGGTCACCCCGGCCACACTCAGATTCCACTCGCTAACCTCCCGCAATCCACTCAGATCAAAACATCAAGTGTTAAACCGATCCAAATACCAAGGACGAGATCGGACCAGAGATTTTGGAGCTTATTGCCGGCCTCGATGATGTGGATAAGTCGTACTTCAAGCCCATCATCAATCAATGCGCGGAAAAATTGAGAGCTCAACAGGAGCTGATATCTTGCTTCCAGCAAGTTCACCCCAGGAAATGAAGAAACTCAAATAGTATCGTTAGCGATGTTTTCTTAACAACCCTGCTCGAAATCATTTACCCCTGATGCAGGAGAAGCTCCGTAACCAAAGCAAGGTGGAACGCGCCATCCACCAAGAACCAGCCGAGTCAGCCAAGGTTCCTGCGCCAGGGACAGATGAGGATGAGCGGCAACCACCTGCTGCTGCTGGTCCTCGCGCAGCCCCTGCAGAGCACACGAGGCGCAGCAAAGTGACACCAATAGACTTCCGCACTCTATTACCAGCAGGAGGAGCTGAACCAGGCATGAGTGGGAAGCATGATGCGACCAAAAAGTTCTACTCCATCGTATACCCATGTCAGCTCGACGAGCACTTAGCATTTTTACTTTAGGTTGCGTCCATCTCGTTCAACACCAGAACAAAAAAACAGACAGACAAACAAACAAACCACATTTTTGTGATTGGACTCTGGCTTCAGGTCCAGGTGAAGTGTTTGGCAGCTGCAGCCGGAAGTGGGAAACCATGAAATGTCCCGAAGAGATAGACGCACTCAAGACGGTGATCCAATGGGTGTACAACAGGTACACCAAGAGATATCCATCTGCAGGTGTGACAGAGCCACCTGAGCTTATTTATTGCATTTTGTAGTGATCCTTTAGTCGGCGCCCACTGATTTTAATATTGATGTGGTTTAATGGGTATTGTTTTTTTGAGTCACAACTGCCTCAGTCTCTAAGGCCTTCGGAAGCTACCCTCATGGAATATATCGAATCACATCGCCCTGTCCAAGACGACAGTTGAACATGGCTCCATTGTGTTGAATTTGCTCAGTGCCATAGAGCACTCAATTGAACCCTTTGAACTCTAAGAGTTTGAGAGGGCTTGCTCTGGCCTGGCAGCACACACCGCTCCATTCACCCAGTGTGCAAGAAGAAATGGTCATCGGCCGACATGACCAAGGGCTATGGATTCAACTATGGTGTTCTGTATAATAACTATTTTGCGTTTGGAATTGTGTTCACCGCCGCTTGACATATAATGTCAATAACTTCCAAGTGTGTGTTGAACCCCCTTCGAAATTGTCTCGGTGTGCTGAAGTAAAACTTCACACCCCAAATAATACTCCGATTGATCACAAACCATTGCAGGTTGCTTGGAGCCAGCCCTTGTTTGACAAGTCTTTTTTTGTCAATTCTGAGGCAATTCGTGTTCGGTGCACTAGGCATGGGTGTTTATGGTCCTCTCAATTTGAGCCTCCTGCCGCACGACTCCGAAACCATTTGCTGTGTGGGTTTACCAAAAAATACCAAACATCCAAAGGAAAACCTTCACTTCCATTGGGTCTTGTAGGCTCATAGGTTGAGTGGTTGCACATCTGCCGAGTCCATTTCGAGTTGGGTTTGAGTGGATTTTGAGTCATCATATTGTTCAGGTGAACGGGGGAATCGAGAGCTTCATTCATAGACAGTTAAGTTTGTTAAAGCATATGACCAAGTCGATCTTCAGCTGAGCACAGCTGAGCAAGCTGTGAGCTTGGCAACCAGGTAAAGCGATACAAATCCACTCAAACCATATCCTTTAGTGGGGTCCAGCGGGCATCAAACATTGTCCAGCCACCATTCCAGTCTTAACACCACCATGGATCTGGATCCCCTGAGCCGGGTTTGAGTTTAGTTTGAGATGGACACCGTGTGGACCAGTGAATGCTTCCATCCCACACATATGTGAATGTAACTTGGATTTGGGGGTTGGGCTGAGCGGGCGAAAGGATTTCAACTTGGAATTCCCTTCATTTGAGTTGTTGATATTTTTCCGGCAACACCCACCCCAATGCAGTAGGATCTTGAATCCGGTGGATGAGGAAGGTGTTTCGAGCTGCCTTCGACATCCATCTCCAACCTACAATTTAGGGAAACAACAACGGTGGTTCCGGCGAGGGACGAGGCTGGGTTTCAGAGCAACAGTGCGGCTTAGAGTTAGTGCCCCCTTTAGCTCGACCGCGATTTATACCCTATTCTAGTGCTTGTGGATCGCGCGACATGGTTGCATCAGCGCTTGCCGGGGCCTTTGCAGTGGCGCTCTTATGGGTGTTGAGCAGTCACACCAAGCTAGTGTCCTGGACACGAGTGGCAGCAATCAAGATCTTGATTTGGTCCATGAGTGAGATGGAAAAGAAGGAGATTTTCTGCGAGATTTTCTACGAGTACAAGGACGATGACGACATCTCTGACTGGTTGGCAGTTTCGGAGACAGCTATTGATCCGGAGCCCACCGCGGGCAATCCTTGTCATTCAGTGGAGAATGCCAGTCAAGAATCCATGCCATCTCAACCGTGCCAGCACATTCGCATTTCCAGGCGTGGATCAAATCATTTCTGCTACCAAGAGCGCTGTCTTGATTGTGGGTTCCTGTTGCTCAAGCGTTCCAAAGGGAATGGTCAGAAAACACAGAAGACGAAGGATCAATGAACGTGTGAGCGTGTGGACAAACAAAGCGCAGCTCACATATGAGCTTTGAATACCATTCCGTGTCACTTGCGACATAGTGCGCACATTCCGCAGAGGGGAGCAAAGGATGCTGAGTTTGCAGCAGGCGCTGTACGATTGTGTTTGCCCTTCACAATGGGGTTTGAATGGGTTTGGATGGTCACCTCTGCCTATGTCATGTGCTCGAGTTTTTAGATGTGTTTATTTTTTTTGGTGGGGTGGTGGTGGTCGACAAGAAAGACTAGCTGACATTGGGTTGTTGGTTCTGCAAACAACACTGTGTGGACTGGTTTGAAAAGGTTTTTAATCGTTGGTGTGAGGTTCGAGTGTTTTTTGGTTAGGGTTTGAGAGTAGTGTGAGTGGTGTTTGAGTGGTGTTTGAGTGTTGTTTGAGTGGTCAAAGTGGAAACCATGGTGTGTCACCCACGCGCTCCACGCGTTCGAGTTCCTGGTGAGGTTTTTTTTCATTTTTTTCCCATTGCGATCCATCGAGTGGAGTTTGAGCGGTTTTCTTGGAAATTGAGCCGTGCTGGACAAAAACATCATTTGAGGTCATATTCTGTGAAATAGGATTCGAGTGTATTTTCTTAGAATACAATCGAGTATGTTTCGAGTGGCCACCGAGCTATAGATCTAACTCAAACGCCAAAAAACCTTGAAAAAAATCAACTCGGCCCATCGAGAGGCACCCGAACACACCACGATAACGGTTCGATGGCTGCTCGAGTGTAGTTTGAGTGTCGAGTGTGCTTTGGTAACGTCAACGTTTGTGGGCGGCCGTTTGCCCGCCCCCGCCCAGAGAAGCTATGACACTTGCACCGTGCCTCGAGGCGCGCTTTGTGACAGGCGATTTGGTGGAATACTTCAGGCCACAGGGTTTGTGTTGAGGCTCGAGACGCGTGGTTGGTGAATTTGATCCCATGGAACATGCTCCATGTGAAACGAGATGTGCCCTGGAGCTGAGACTTTGGCCATGAAGTGGCGGAACTCCGTCATGCACAACGTCGGTTAAGCCTGTATTTTTGGTTGATTCAAGGAAGCCAAGCAAGCCGGAGAACCGAGCAAGCAAGTGACTGGCTTTGTACTGGTAAGATATATGTCCCAGGTACTCTAGGAAACATCCGATTAGGCCCCATGGCCGTCAGGACCGTTTTCCTTTCCTCGACTCCTTGCTGACTCACCCTCTTTGCTTGCCTTCTGCCAGTAGCTCCTACCAGCTGTGGATTCCAGCGCAAGTGGTGGGATGGGATTCCCAGAGATCTGCCTACATCCTGAACGTACAACCTGTTGCACCACCCCACAAGGCTCGCCACAACTCCGTGTTGCAGAGATTGCAAAACAGATTAACAGTGAATATGCCGTGAGAAAGTCATTTTGCGGGCTATCACTATCATTATCACTCAGATTGCACACATCGCTGCATAAATGTTGCAGCTGGTTTCAATTCCTTCAGCCTTCAGCAGCATTCCTGTATTGTGGCCCATTGTCAGTTTGTGTCCAATGTACAGTCTTGAAGGTGAGGCCAAAGAACAGTAATCCCTACAAATCTGAATTTTCAGGGCACCCCGAGGCAGATGGATCAACAAAGCTCCGCGTGATGTTCATATGTTCATGTGCCTTGCCCAAGCAATGTACGCTCGTGCTTGTGCCTTCGCACCGCAGGTGCGGAACCCCCCTTTGCCGCCCAAGTCCGTGGAGATCCCCATGGCTTTAAAGGACGACCGGTCCGAGTCCGATGGGAGCAGAAGGAGGGTCGCTTTGGGATAAAGGCGGTGGGGGAAGCTTCCTTGAAGAAGCGCTCGCACTATTCATGTGGTTTGTAGGTGATCTTTTCACTGTCTTGGCTTTCACTTCTGGGATTCTGAGAGCATTCTTTTCTTCACATATTCCACCTACTTCGTTGTTCGCCTGAGCTCACGATCCTCAGCTGATGGGCTCGAGCCCTTATTTATTCGGAGAACTGAGTGCTCCTGCAGAAAAGGCGTCAGAAGCCTATCAGCAGTTTGTCGGCTGCATGTCTTGCTACAAGAATGGGCTCCCTTGGGCTACCTAAAACAGTATTTGATTTGTTTAAATTTGTCCAGCTGTCTTACGGACACGTTTAGGCTGAGAGTGGACAGAGTGGTTGAACGGTTGAACATGCTAACCTTGCATCTGAAGTAGCTAACCAGCAATATTTACTGTACTTTATTTTACTTTCAAGTTTGATATGGCAAAATGCACGACAGCTCAGGTCTTGAATCTCGGGAGGCTGCTGCAGGGATGAACTCAAGCCAGCCTAAGACTGAGCTGAACGGATCCATGTTCGACTCCGAGACCTTCTCGGCCGGTGCGTTTTGAACTGGGACGTTAGGATCATTTAGGACCTGGATGGAACTGCGAACTCAAGATCGTCTTCTGTTTTTTTCTTGCAGTTTGAAACTAGCTTTCAACAACTCTGGCTCACAGCGGTTAGTGGAGCTTCGAGAACCAGTGCGCAGATAGCACCGAGCACCATCAGCCATGTCGATGTTCAAGCGCTTTGTGGAGCCCGGCCGATTGGCTTTGATCACCTATGGCCCTTGCGCGGTCTGGAGCCCAGACATCGCCACACGGCAAGGCACACTTTCAATTGTGGCCATGTACTGCACAGTGATGCAGTGCATATCTGAGGGCAAGCTGTGCACCGTCACGGACATCGTGGATCAAAAGAGAGTTGCCACGAGCTCAAAAGGTTGCAAGAGATCTCACTGAGAGTTGCGTTCTCAAGCCGATCCATTCCTGACACTCAAATGGCTGAGGTTGTTGATGGACCCGAGGCGGGTTGAACTCCTATGGGGTTTCTTTGGCTTAATTTAACTAGTCCACCACGTAAGGGCTGAGCCATGGCGTGAAATTACCCTATTTGAGCCATCCGGCCATGGCCTCGTGTTCTAGTCCATGAGGTCTACACCCAAGGGTATAGAAGGGAAATTAACGCATAGAAAGGTATTAAAGGGTGTACGCATGTCAAGGCTTCAGCCAATCCAAGCTGCCCGTTTGCAGGATATCACCGGTGTGCGACGACACATGATGCCCATCAAGCGCCTGAGCCTCACAGACTTCAGGCGAGTGTGTTGAGCTTGACCGCTGCTGAATTCCAAACTGCTATCCGTAGCCATCAGATTCTAACCTAACCTTCACTCTGTCGGTTTTTGCGATCTACTTGTACAGAAAATCAGGAGTGTTGGTAGCAGGAAGTATCGGTGAATTGGGCATCAAGGCATTGCATCGGACGTCGATCTGTGTCTATGTTGCTGCTGGCTTTGCAGGTTCGTTGCCAAGAGAGGCATTCGTGAGAAGGCTCTGGGCACAGAGTCTTACGAAAGGTTCCAACTTCCGTTTGAATGATAGCATCTCGCAACCAGATAGAAACTGAAACGTGACAAATTACGTGACACCCAACAAAGCACTGGTGAAGTCTTTGACTGAAATTCACAACAGGGGCTTGCAATATACCGCTTACCAGCTTAGACAGTGGGACAACGAGAACGATGATTCTTTGGGGACACCAGCGACACCCATGTAGACCAATGTAACCCCCACTCATGAATTCGTGATTCCTAGGGGCAGCCTAAACCCACCAGGTGCTGAGGAAGGGCCTGGAGAAGAGTGGCAACTTGAATAAGTTTTGGGAGAGCTCCTGGGGAAAGAAGCTGAAGACCCAGGACTGACGCGTGAAGTAATCTCCTGGAATCTTCTTTGTGCACTTGCGAATGTTTGCATTTTTGTCAATCAACCTAGTATTGTATAGAATGTATTAGACACGTTTGCAACATATTTTCCAACCTATCAGTTATCACCTTCGGTAGGCTTCTTCTGGATCCTGGTTTGGTATTCCAGGAAGCGCGCAAGAACATGACTGACTTTGAGCGATTCAAGGTGATGTGTGCCAAGCAGAAGCGATCCAAGGACGTTCACGGGTGTGTTGAGAGAATGGGAATGCACGGCAAGACTGGTTCTCCAGTTTTGCCAACCAAGCTTTTTCCAAGACCATCGAATATTATAGCCCTGCCAGCCCAGCTTCTGGAAGGAAGTAAAGAAGAGCCTCAAGAAGAAGTGAGACCTGCGACCTGACTTGCTCAACCATGACGCTCCCAGCCAAAAAAAGAGTTGCCAAGTTGCCAGTGAGAGTTGAGAAGCTCCTGTGCAATCTGAATGCCACACCAAGACAGTGCCTTCATCATCGTCCCTGCATCACCTCTCTAGCAGCCAGTTTCTCCCACAGGGCCCTACTTGTTTGAGTTATTTTGTTCAAGGCTCAGCAATGATCAGTTCAACCAATTTAACCTGACCCATGAGGCAGGATGCAGACACCTGCGATACACCAAGGACCGGTTTCTGGGATAGGCACCAGGTAAGTTGGCCACGCATGGGGATAGGATAGGCAGGTGGTAGACGATGGTAAACACTGCGGTGGAAGGCCTCAAGCCTAAAGTTAAAGGAAACATGCTTTTCATTCATGTGGATTGAGCAAGACGATTGTCATCTTATTTCTTCCGCCAGCAAGGAGAGAGGAGAGAGAAGGTCTTTTATCAGCTGCAAGCCAGGCTGGAATGATTTTGCAAGCACAGTTCTAATCATCCTCATGTATTTTGCACAGTCTGACCACCTTGGACCCCCAAAACAACGCTTTACAATCCTGTGGCCATTTGAGCACATTTAGAGCTCTTGTATCTGAAATCGGAAGTTTGGCATGTGCAACATTTTGTGTCTGATTGGGCCAAGAGGGATAAGAACGCCTCAACTTGGGAAACCACTGTGTATCCCATCAACATGGCCAGTTTTTGCGTGGGCTGCCATCAACTTGCCAAATTGTTGTAGTCCCCAAGAATCAAGTCAAACGCAGCATCCTCAGAACCACTCATTTTTGTTTGTTCCTTGGAGAGCCTTTTTGTACTGCGACGCCGACCGCCACACCCATGAACATCGAAGGCTGAGAGGGCCGACTCAACATCAGGATCATCACCTGGTGATGGAATAAGAGGTGGCTTGACGTGAAGAAGCATTTGCCAAGCTTTGGCTGAGGGTTTGGGGTTCAGGTTGGTGAAGATTTGAACTTAGCATGCTTTCGGACATGAAGTTGGGTTTCTTTTTGATTCGCAGGGCTTGTTTTCGGCTTCCGATGCGTCCCCTGAGTTCCTTGTGCCGACACGAAAGGCATTTGTTCATGACACGAAGAATCACGACATTTGGTGTCAGGGATCTGGACGAAGGATTTTGCTCTCTGTGTGGCCCAAGGTTCCCTCGAGGCTCTCCGTCGGAGCATGCAGCAAGTTTTAGATAGTTGGTGGACGTCACGAGCCTGTCGAAGAGAGATGGAGGAGATCTGCAGCTCACGGCGCGAGCTTTTTTCTCTCAAAGAGTACATCCCGTGCCGTAGATGTTTTTCCTTCGTCTTTGATCGAAAAGAACTGTAATCCTCGGACCAACAATTGCAGCGTGTTGTTTCTCAAGATTGAGATGGAGCCCTTCTGAATATTTGACAATCTGACGCCCTGCAGAAGCAGTCAATTGGATCCACCCATTTTTCGGAACAAGATCCTGTAGGCACACACAAGAAGGATGAACAAAAACAGGTCGAGAAGAATAGAACTATAGAACGCTTGAGGTGAAAGATCACAGGAAGATACAGTATATAGAAAGATACTTTGGCCATCTTGGGCCTAAAAGCGATGGCCTCCAACCTACTAGCGAACATAATACAGAGGGGACAGGGAACGGTCTTGTCATGTAGTTGTGCCTTCGAGTCATCCCAGGAGTCGCTCCGGAGACTCAGAGCCATCGAGGTGGATCTCGCCCAACTACAGAGGCCACGAAGGCCATGGCACGCGGTGCCACACGGGGGAATTCGGGGACCGTTTCGGGGTTACGAGAGAAAGACAGAGAGAAAGAAAGAAAGAACGAACGAACGAAAGAAGAACAAGAACAGAGACAAAGAAGGACAAGAACTATAACAGCGAGAAAGAAGGACAAGAAAAGACTCAGCCCTGGCGTCAGCTGGGTCATCTCCAGGCCGAGCCTGGAGCATGAGAAGAGCTCCTTAGAGGACCAGTGTGACGATTTTCCTCATATCATAAGCCTTACTGGTATGGCAGGACAGTAATGGAAAGCAACTTAGTTTCAACATGACAGTTGACAACAGAGCAAGACAAATGTCTTTGCATTTAAGGGCACATGATTTTCCTTTCGACCATGGGGATTCCTGTTCCTTTTGGCAACAGCACCAGGAGCTGAGAGAAGAAATCCAGGCCTGGATCGGAAGTGACGTGGAATAAGGAAGGATGGCAAGCCTTATGCATGAACTGCATAAGGCTTGCCTTTGATTCTGTTCAGGTTCACAACAGCTCTGAAGTGTGTCTAAGTGTTGTGAATGACAGGGCGTGAAACTCTAGGTCTGACCCAAAAGCGAATATATAACTACTGTTGAGGAAACTAGGAAAATCCATGTGTTTTGATTGATGGGGAATGATAAAGATGGATAGTATGGAAGCGTAGCAGCATAACCATCCACTGAGAAAGCTTTGCAACGTTTGGGGAGCGACATATGCATCAAACTGATCAAGCCAAATAAGTGCCCTCGAAATTGAGACGATTACAGGTGCTGATCAACCAGCCAACATGGATGTTCTTTTTGACACCCAACCGGTTGACTGCACCTTGCAGCGGTGCAGATTGGAAAGACCAAGTCTGTCTCCTTATCACGGCGCTGGCTTGTGGAAACCTTCACGGAGGCTGCGTCACCAATCAAGTCGGCTGCGCTGAGTTGATGTCTCCAACATGGATCACAGGTACCCAATCTGCCCTGGAGGAAATCAATCCTTGCCTGTTGCATGCCAATTTAAACTTTGAGATCTACGTCGTGGTTGGTCCTCAATGCTTCATCTGAGACGGGCTCCATCCCCTTTAGCCTTGGAGCAAGCATTCTTGGAGCAACCCCCCTTTGATCCTAGTAGCTTCTTGTTCCTAGTAGCGATGCCCTTTGCTCAACCACACCCAAATATCCACACCCAAAGGCAAACCATGAAGCACCAACCTCCAGAAGAAGCAGTGTGTCGGAAGTGATGTCTCCAAGGATATCAGCGTACTGGCCTGAGCAGTTGGAACAAAGGGATGAGATGAAGTTTGTGAATTGTGTAGTATGGCTTCTTGTGCTGAGGCAGCATGCATGCATCAATCGGTGCTTGCAGTTAACGCAACATTAGTTTGTGCATATTGGCACAAGAATGTAGTGATTGACTTGACAGATGCCACCTTCCAAGTTCCAAGCATTTCCATTGTGTGATTGTATAAGGAGGGCAGCTGAGGAGGAGCTGGGCATGCTGGGCATTGACACAGGTTCAAGTATGTTCGAAATCAATGTTCACTAGCCAGTAGCATATCATGGAGTGCTTATCACAAGAAGGCCGTAGTGGCAGTAGTGCACGTGGACAAAGTTGGGGGTCAGCTTATGATTTTGTGGCATATTGCTACACAACATCAAGCTCAGTCTTATTTGGTTCAAGAGCAACTTAACGATCCTTAGCACCTCGTGCACGAGATTGAGCCAATGATCCTATGAGTTTCACGCGGAAGCCTTTTGCAGCGGTTCCGCTGCTGCCTTTTGCAGGAAAGCAGTGTGGCCAAAGAGCCGACGTTGAAGCACCTCGAAGAAGAGGCCATAGCGGCCAAGACGCGTTTCTGTGGGCCAGGTTACTGGGCCGTCAATCCATGTCATGTAGTGTAGGTGTTGAAGAGGCCAAGTCATGTGGTCTCAACTATACACTATGGCCCTGGCTATGATACCAACATTCCCGATTGGTCGTGCACAGCATGTAATTACCAAGTTCAAGGTGAGGTGATGTGCAGGTCACGATCTCTGGTAGCATTTCTTCGCATCAAAGTTTACAAATATGTAACTCTTGCTCCCAGTTCCAGGTCATTATTTGATGTTCTTTCCTGGATAATGGGGTTGATGGATGAGAAACAGCACTCCTTTATCTCCTTTGAACAGCGGACCAGGCCAGTGTGAAGCCACATTTTGTCGGTTCCGCCAAATTTTGGGGCATGGACCATGCCGCATGGTGCCATGTCTTTGAGAGTCGGTCAGGATGACATTCTACTTGACTCCAATGGAGGGGTCTATGGTCCTGAGACCAACGCAGACACCAAGGATCAAGATGACAACAGCCGCTGGCCCTGCATGTTCAACAAGAACCCAATCGTTTGGAAAGCAATGCAACTTCGGCACGAAGCCCACCGACAGGAGGTATCATCAGTTGCAAGCAGACTCCTTTTGGGTGGCTCTTGCAAGAGGAACGCACAATCTGAAATCTTCTCTTCTCGGCCTGGATGAGTCTGACCAAGCAGTGCTCGATCTTCAAGGGATGGTATGTTGACTGCAAGAACGATAACTGGAAGGACGGCGACTCTAGAAAAGGAATGTGACCAGCTGAGCCGAGTCAAACGCATGGAATAGGCCACTTTAGTCAGGCCATTTGAGCAGCAGCATCATCCTCTATGCTTCTAATTGGGACATATTGGGACTACAACCTGTCCAAAGTCCCTGAGTCATTGATCAGTCTAAAGGGTGTCCTATTTGGACATGGCTCACCTTCGGCACTTCCGACACGTGCAGCCAAAGCACCTGTTTTCAACTGGCGAATCACTGTGCTTGTGCCCCTGGGCTGGTGGAAGGTCCAAAATCGGAGATTACCAAGCCAAGAAGGTCCTCAAGGACTCTGTCATGAAAACAAGATATCCCCCAAGGACTCTCTCAGGATATCCTGACAGCTTGTCTTTTCTTCAACGAAGCCATTTTCAGTCCATCCTTGTGGACTTTGTCATGGGTCAAATTTCTGGTCTAAGGTTGAGTACTTTATTCTTGTTACTACTAGTAAGGCACTTGTTACTACTAGCGTGGCACTTGTTCCTAGTAGCTTCTTGTTACTTTAGTATTTTTTTTGTACTTCAGCATGCATAGTGGCATAGTGTTCCCCACTGGAACTGGAACTGTTTCAACCACCCGGGCAGATTGTGATATGTAGACCTTGTGACCTTGTGTCGTAATTTTTCGATTTGGAAAGCCGTTGTGCAGAAAGAGGGCGCCTTGGAAGCTGTGGTGTAGTTGGGGTCATCAAGCATGAGCAGGTCAAAACTGGAGCTGCAAAAGTGATCAGCTAGGGGATGCCAGGTGTAGATATGAACAATCACAGGATATCAAGACAACCAGTTCGATCTTTGTTCAGAGAGTAACCAGTCGCAAGTAACCAGTCGCAGGCTGCTGACTTGCTAGAGCGAGCAGGGATGCTCGACTTCAATACTGTAGCATGTGGAGAAGTGCCCGGAATGAAAGGACATCTTTTGCAGGCCACCGGGAGGGGCCGGAAGGGTTCGGCTTGTAATGGTGTTCACCCGTCGACCCTCATGTAATTACACTCTTCTTCAGTCAGTCACCTGTGCCATTTTTTCCGGCCTTTCTGAAGATGTGTTTCTTTGCCTGTCTTTAGTTTGCAATCCTTTTGTGTTTTCGCTTGGCTTCCACTCATCAAGACCGTACAGAGCACCTCTCTGGTCAGCAGTCGATGTGATTGGTTTGGCCATCAGAAGCTAAGCTTCAAGGGATTCTTCTGATTCTGCTTCTGAAGAGATGGAATTAGAACGAATATGAACGAATGAATGTGTGATAAATGTACTATATAATCCTTTGTCTGGAGAAAACTAGCGTTCAATACCTGGCAGGTTTTATTCAAGACCGCGGTGAAGCAGGATGCATTGCTGGAAAAGTTGGACCAGCAGGGCAATCTCGTCTCCGAGGCCGCGGGTGTGGGGTCGAAGCTAGACCATCCCAGTTTGACTCTTGGAGATGCGGAACCTAGACTGGGAGAACCCTGAGGTCCTTTGCAACAGTCACATTCAAGATCATTCAAGTCGTGTTGAACACGCAATCGGTCGACATTGCTGAGATAACGCTAGACAGTGTATTGATAGGTCCTTGGGTCCTGGCTAATGTTTGCTTTCGTCCGTTGACTTTCTCCAATCAACGAGAGAGAACGACGCATGTCTTCGAAAAGAACAAGACATGTCGCATGGGCCGGGAAGAAACGCCGGCGGCAGCAATCGCTCTTCAGGTCGATTTCAACCAATCGCTCTTCACCTTCTTGGGCAGAATAGAAGAGATGTATTGCCCACAGATACCGTACCATACAGCCCTCCATGCTGCAGATGTGATGATGACCACGGACACTTGGCATTTTTTCGTCCAGCATACTCTGGCGAAGTGTGGCTTGACAATTCTAACTTTCAGAATCAAACTCATGAATACATCAGCACAATTAGATGGAAGTGCCAGCTTTCAATCTTTTCTCCGCATCTTCTAGGAGTGGTTTCTTCGGGCGCCGACGCTAGCTTCCGAGGCACATGTTGTACAACTGTCTACCAATGCTTTGCACCTCCGAAACTCAAGAAGCACGGGACACAATGATAAGGATATGACATGATCTGACACATGCTCGGTCCTGGGAGCTCTTCTTTTTGAAACATCTTGCTCTGATGGGTCCTCTGACCTGAACTGAAAGACGGTGACCCTCCAAGTTGCCCGAGCGACTAAATTATCCAAGGTCAAATTTGGCAACAGAGTTGTATTTGCTAGCCTAGTCGCAGGCAAGTAATATCAGTAAATTTCATGACACTAACATTGCAAAAAATCATTCCAAAGTAATATACTACTGTAAATGATCTTAAATCAAAAGAACTCACGTGTATTGTATATAAGGCACTATATATAAGGCATTTTGAGGCCATAAGGCTAATAACATGCCGCATTCGTTCGACTTTGACCTATTTGAGCAAACGGGCGACGGCCCATTGAGAGGTCTCCGAGTTGGATCACGTGATGGTGTCGAGCTGAGTTGAATCGCGCTCCGTTGAGTGTGTTGACCAGCCTGTCCTTCGATGTGATTCGAACGGATGGGCAACTGACTCCCCCATGAATGGCTTCCACCCTTCCACCCCCACCGCTCTCGGACTTGCACTCAGAGCCGGGAGAGAGGTTACTGTTCGCATCGTGGCTCAACGGCTTTTCACCGAGGTTCTGATCGCCTGTGCCATCCATGATGTTGGACACAATGGCAGGTCGCTAGTTCTTGGGAGTACGCCCAATACGGGATGTCATCTATGAAGCCATACCAAACTCATGACAGCGCACATGATAACAAGAATGATAAGCTCCAGGACCAAAAGCGGAAGGGGAATTGTGGAAGCTTTATGCTCTGCTTGTATGGTCGGAGCTACATACGCCGAGTTTCCTTGTGTCACTGCACTAGAACGACATATGTAACGCCGTATTTGCATGAAAGACGGCAAAATCAATATAAACAAAGCGAGAAGACAAGAAGTGGTATGGTGCACACTAAAAGCTTTATGATGGTTTATGTAATATACAATTATTATACATATATAATACAACGTGGTTTCTACTGCATCAGTGCTGTAGTTGGCACAGCAGATGCTACGATCTTGTGTTAGTCACTCTATTTTGAGCTACATAAATAAGGAGGTGCGTTTTTTTTTTGCGTTTTTCTGCTTTTGTTGCTTTTCTGCTTCTGCTGCTTTTGTTGCTTTTCTGCTTTTGCGGCTTTTCTGCATCTGCTGCCTTTTTGCTTTTGTTGCTTTTCTGCTTTGGCAGCTGGCAGCTGTTCTCCTTTCTCTTTTTGTTTTTGCTTGTCCGTTTGTTTGCTTTGCAAAGAAGAAACCAAACAAGGAAGGAAGGAAGCAAGGAAGCAAGCAAGCAAGCAAGGCTCACCTTTGGATCTGGTGTGCTGCTGGGGGAGCGCTGCCCCCCCCCCAACCCCGTACGAGGGAATAGTACGTATAATGTGATTTTGATGATCTTTGATAGATTTGTATGTTTCAATGTTTTAATTCAATATTGAAACTGTTAATATTGAATTCCCAATGGAATTGCCAAATCCAGGAATCAATTCAATATTTTTCATGTTTTAAATATGTTTAAATAGGCTGAGTATTTGAAAAAGAAAAGTTAAATTCCGGGGGGTCCCCAAAGCCCGGAATCAATTAATATTTAAAACATTTAAACATCAAATTAAAATTCAATTCAAATTAAAAAAAGATGGGAAGTTTGAAAAGACAGATACAGGGCTTCGATGCCCATGCTGTCCGTGGCGCTGCTTTCAAAGCCCGAAGCCACAGCTGATCACCTAAAGACATACCACGCTGAACGAAACCAGTATTGCTGCTCTGGAGCCAAGCAAATCAAGTGCGTTTTGTCCATTCACGACTCTGACATGATTGATTGCTGGGCATCGATTGGGCAACTATTTGCAGAGAAGCGCAGATCTTCTTCGAAAACAAGTTGTTCCTGGCCTGCCTCACACAGCCAATAGCATTAATGGACAAATCCGCCTGGTTCTCGATGCATCAGGACTAGGGCCGGCATTTTTCATTAGAATCGTCACGCTGTTGCATTCACTTCCAATCTTCACACCAGAACTGAACCCAAGCAAATTACATTCCAAGCAGTCAAATATGTCTTCTGATGCCAGGACCCAGGTACGTCAATCAGACTACAATTGGCAAAGACCTGTTCGTCCGGCGCGTAGGAAATATCTTCTACGCGCACGAGCTTGGAGAGCAAGTTTTTCAAGAGATCATCTTGCACCATGCGAAGGCGCTGGTCTGAAAGAGTGCTTGAGTCGATGTGTTTCTTTTTTAAAGGTTGTTTGTTTCAATCAGCTCGTGTATCTCGACAAGTTTGAACAGCAAGCTGAAACCTTCTGACTTGCTACAGGTTAAGACAATTTGGCCTCGCTTCATGTTGGAGGCAGTCCGCAGTGGCTCTGCACTGGCCAACCTGTTGCCGTCCAATACATCCCGACGGTGGCCTTTGGTGGAGGATGTATGTGTTTCATTCACAGCAATGTTACAGGAGTGCAAGGAGCATCACGAGTTCACCGCAACTTCGATTGATGGCACGTTCAGAGTTTGCTTGACCATTCTGGAGCAAGTTCCGTTCAATGCGCCCAAGAAAGCTCAGGCGCGGCCTTTTCTGATGAAGATAGTGTTAGGCGAGCTATCACTGTCAGAGGCAAGACTGGTGCAGTGGTAGCAATTTTCGCAGCGGCAGGGGAAGGCTCAGACCACATTGCTGCAGGTCTACAACAGCGAATCGACAAGGAGTGTCTCAACCAAGTTCGTTTTGTGGCCACAGATGCTCCTAGCCGGCGGCTCTTTTGCATTCTGAAGGAGATTCTGCCGAATTTGGAAGCGTTGCTGTTGGACCCTATCCACTTGGCCAGGCGCTACGAGTCATCATCTGCCCGAAAGAGAACTGCAGGCTCGGCCACTTTGCGCCGTTGCCTGGCAAAGTTCTCGAATGGAAGTGCGCTGCTCCAGAAGGAGAGTTTTTACACTGGAGAATGCAGCCCGGCAGTCAGTGCCTATGAGCAAACTCTGCAGCAGCAAATCTTGGGTAGCTCGATGCCACAAACCAAAGCTAAAAAGCTTTTAAGTTCTGTGGATGAAATGGATGTATGGGTGAGCCATGTCGGTTTTGTGGAAAGGTTAGTTGCTATGAGCGCCATTTACCGAACAGAAGTGATGAAAAACGAAGAGGGAAAGGCAGTGTATCATCTCTTATGGCAAGCTGCGCAGCCAGATCGTTTGGGGTGGCTCTTCAACAATGCGCGCGCAAGGGCACGAATGTCTGCGGCTGAACAGATGCTTTTACCGAACCACTAGCAACGAAAGCTTGTACGCTGAGATAAATGGAGGGTTCCGGCAGACGCAGCACTTGCACAAGAGCACCCTTCAGCTGAAATTAGATATCCTTGTGCTCGCAAAGCTGGTGTGCCATAACTCCGCTTTATATTCGCCCACTGCCCGGCAGATGTTGCCAAATGAACTTCTCGCAAGGCGCATTGGGAATGGCCTTTGGAGTGGCAGGGCGTGGCTGGATATGGTGCAGGACACTTGCGTGGCAAAAGCGCGCAAAAGCTGATTTACCAGTTGAAAAGGAGCGCAAGGCGGAAGCGCTTGCAGTGTCCCAGCATGTACAGAAGAAGCCAGCCGCCGTCAAAAGGCCGGCGTGGCATAAAACACGACAGTAAAGGTGTAACCCGGGCAGGCGCGCAAAACAGGTCAATGCGCCTGCGTATAGATTGATCATGTGTACGATATGAGAATTGACTAAGTTCACAGCTTACAGACTTCACCTTGGGCAAAAGGAAACATTACTCCAATAAGTGCCACGCATCATTGCGCTCTATATCTCATCTCATCTCCTTCAGTGCCTTGGAAATCAAGACGTTCAAGCGCCGTAAGTGCTGCCCAAATTTGTAGATGAACATATAATTAAAATTCGCACATATATATATATATTATCCGCGTGTGTAGATTCATGCCAGTGGTTCCTTTTGTGGGATGAAGCGTCCTCATGCTTGTGGGTGTTGTGCACAGGCGCACCAAAATCCAAGCGGTATGGATCAGTTCTTGCTGATGAACATAGCAACAGTTTAAGTTGCGTATGTGATGGCTAGTGAAATGGTCTGGGCTCACATGTGCGCGCACGACGCACCATACTCACACACTATCCTTCAAGATATAGAGGTATCTAGTCTTCACGACTTGATTCGAGTATTTGCGACAACTGAAGTTAATTTAAGCACACCTTCTAAATTCATATGGCCCAACAATAAGTACCATATATAACATTATGTTTCACCACTTGCTCGCGTGCCGAGGAACGATTGGTGTTGGGCACATGTGGATCCGATGATGAGCGATCGACAAAAACCAATAGGGGATTAATGGCAGGGCGTGGAGTGGTGAAGCACAAAAGTTATGTGTTTCTTTTAGGGTATCATTGTATTGATTGATTGTTTTCTTGTTTGAAAAAGCTGAGAATATCGTTCCCGAGCGCGAATCGCATTATACCAATTATTCCCTGCCACCCCCAACCCCCCCCGCGCCACGAAATCTGCACTTCATCTCCGACACCCGCGCCTGCCACGAAATCAATATTTTAAGGTGAACTCCCCGGTGCAAAAACTTTGCTATAATTAGCTAGGTACTAATTAAAAACCTGCTCTAGCCCAATGTTTTTTGAAAAACACGAAAAAATAGACAAACCCAAATTAAATGTGCACCCCCAAAAAATAGATATATAATCAGTTTACACTCATATATAATCTTTGGTCTTTCGCACGGTGCTGACGGTAGGTAGAATTGGTTTGTGTGCACTGACGGCGTATTCGTTGCCTGTCTCGTTTGGCATTGGTACGTGCTGACTGATCATCCCACATTGTTCTACATGGGTGGCATGAAATATGGTTTGCTTGCTTTTCAAAACTTGCACGTGCCATTCAGGAAGTATACACATATATTCCATTGCCATCATATTCCATCGTATTTCCATGCCGCATTTTGGTTGGTCGCTTCTCCTTGACAGAGTAAAAGTCCTGGGTGGCAGGAACAATCTCTTTCACACGAAGACCATGAGCCCATTGGCGATCACCTACAATGACAAGAGCGTTCTTGAGAATATGCACGTGGCATCCGCCTTCGAAGTCATGCAGCAGGACGATTTGTTGGAGTCGCAAGCGAGATGAAACAAGAAAAGAGAAGTCGGTTCGAGTTTCGGGGCGGAATGGTCGGATTTCTCGCTATGACGTGCCTTGCGCAGTTGGAGGATTCTGGACATGCCTTGTGGTAAGTGGGAGAGTCCTTGGATCTCAAACGTTTGAGCATTTGCATGTGGTTCCAGGATGCGCAGTACAATTGGCTCGCCCACTTGCAGCAGAACTTCCTTCCAGAGAGTGCATCCAAGGCTGTGAACTTGCAGCAGTACATCCGAAGGCAGGAACAAGAGGACGCTACTAGGGGTTCCTGGCCTTACTACTAGGAACAAGGATGCTACTAGGAGTTTTTTCGCGCGCGCGAGGATAAGGCTCCATAAGGGTCCCTTCAAGAGGGTCCCATTGAGTAGTAGGGGTCTAATGAGGGTCCCTTCAAGAGCGATGGCATCAGGGTTGGTTCGGTGTTGCGACTCGTTTATTGTTATCTATTTTATGTGCATGCTATTTCAGTCAAACTTCGAGCATCGGTTTTCATGGCATATGTCTTTGATAGACTTATAGTTCTTGCATGTTCTAGAGCGCAGTTCTGGGACAAGCCGTGCCATGTTGCCTCCACTGCTCACAATCTAGGATCGCTGCAAGACAGCTGGATTGACACAATGCACATGACACTCGCAGACTGCACCCACTTGTTCAGGGGAATCATTGACATTGTCTTGGGCACAGACATGGCCAAGCACATCCAGCACCAGAAATTTCTGGCTAGCCGCGTTGCCGTGGGGTTCTCAGACCAGCCGGTTTCAGAACAGTCGCTTTTGGGCAAAGACTGACCATGCGAGCCCGTCCAATGGAAACCTGTTACATTCCACGCTGATGAAGGGAGAGAACGGCTGAGGCAGTGCAAAACCAAAACAATGCCGAGGCATTTGCAGTGATTTACATGGGTTAGCACGGGTTTGCTGATCGTAGGAGTTGGCAAAATCTTCAATTGAACTTTGGCGACCAGTAGCAAGACTGCAGAACGAACACTGGTCAGACCAACATCTCCATATTGTGCGAACTTTCGGTCTTTACAACCAGCAAGGCTAGTACTAGTATTTGCTTAATCCAAACTCTAAACCAACGTTTTGCCTTTTCCTCCCAGAGTCCGCATCAGCTTTCTGAATCGGACGGTTTCAATCATTTTCTACGCAGTCTACAGATCAGCAGATTTGACGTGATGTTCAATATGTGGAGCAAGACTGTCAACAGCACCGTGGAACACATGAGACGTGAACTTTTTCATTTGATCTTTGCCAGGCTAATGGTGAGACCAGCAAGATGGAATTTCTTGAGGCCATCATGCATGCTGCCGACATCTCTAACCCATGCAAGTCCGGGGCTCAGCTGACATTGGTTGACGCTTGCACTGCGAGTTGATCTCACATTGGTTGGCCGGCTGTTCAAGACAGAGGTTCTTCCATCAAATTGTACTAGTAGCCAGGACGCTATCAGGTGGAGGCCATCGCAAATAGGTTGGAGGCCATCGCTACTAGCAACAAGAAGCAGCCACCCCCTTTTTTGCCGGTCCGTTCACACTTTTGAACGGACCCGTCGTTCGCCGCAGCCTGAGAGCTTCCGTTCCCCAATGTCAAGCTCCTTCGCAAGGCCCAGAAAGATGATGCTGCACTGGACTCAAAGAGTATCTCTGGCTGAGTGACCTAGGATTTTGATGGATTTCGTGGATCTCAAATCATCCCAGTTTCAAGAATCGATGAACCTGCTCCAAAGTTGACAGACTTGTCTGGACAGCAAGGTGCTATCATGATTTTGGCATCCCCCTTACCACTATGCTTGCCGTAGGTCTTGGGATTACCCATACCTGTGGAAACGCGCATGCATTTCTTTTGTAAAGAATCCACTGTCCTGGGAACCACTGGTTCCATTTTGGCATCAGGCCCACTTAGTTCGTTGGTCATTGGGAGCGCATGCTTTTTTTCAGTTAGACCTAAGCTTGTTTGCCTATCCAGAACGGTATGTGGTTGTTGATCCCTACCACACCAGCTGGTCGGGTAGTGGACGTGACTCCTACCTGCGATTTTTTTGGCCAGGTAATTGAGGAGTTTTGGGCACAGGGTGACGAAGAAATGCGACTCAACATCGAGGCTGGGGATTCTACATGATCTGTGTGATCCAAAGTGATGAAACACCGCATGCTGCACAAAAACGATGCATACAAGTCATACAATTGACAAAGTTCTGTTTGAGGGATCCAACTCTTCTTGATTGTGACAAGGAAAGGTTGAGATGGTAAGGTTTAATGCGTTGGTTAAGCATCAGTATCAGCAACTCTTTGCACTTTCCATTTGTGATTCATTGATGTGTTTCTTCAGATCTGCAACATTAAAGTTGGACTAGGCATTGGACGGTAGCCAGCAACGCTACTATCTAGCAAAGCTACGAAAGACAACTTGAATGGACCGATACTTCGAGAATATATGAATTTAATTGAATTGATAGCTATATGATGACTATTATATAAAATCATCCACTTCCAGCTAGAAATTATTTGGTCACTCAATTGGTTGGATTTTGTTTGGCATGGATCCAAAATGCTTCATTGCTGCAGGTCAGTCCGATGTGTGATCGAATCACGGGAGAAGACTCCATTCCGAAGCAGCAATTAGGCACCGCTGTCCAGTTGCCTCGTAACAAACTGTGTTAGACAAGGAAAGTCAACGTAGACCAGCAGGAGGGCACGGACTGTGCTGCAGGAGATGTTCAGGTGAAGGCATGTGCTTGTTGTCATAATTTGTACGCAAACACCGTGTTGAGCAAGAGTTTTTCTAGAGCAAAAGGATGCTCCATTGCCCCCATGTAACATCGCTCGACAGGCTTCATTGACTTCGTGATCACTCCCTACTACACGCCTTTGGCTGAATTAATCCCGGAGGCACCGGTATCACCTTCATCTTCATTTTCGGTGCTTCAAGCTTGATGGTTTCATACCGTTTCACCATGCCATGGTTTGACATGTTTTGACAATTGCATGTGGAATCCTAGTCTTGTATGACTCAAGCAGTTTTTGCATTCTCTGAAAAGCCTTGTTGTCAAAATACCGAACGGTCGCTTAGCGACTGTTTTTGTTTGGCCATCGGATGTCTCCTACTTGGCTCCTAAGACGAACAGACCCATGAACTTGCCGTGTTTAGCTGTGGACTTGCCGTTTGGAGGTGAAAGAAGCGACCAAAAATATGTTGGACAACCGCTCCTTCTGGTTGGAGAAGGAATCTCAGCAGGCTCCTTCTGTGGTTGAAGGCTTCTATCACGCAAACTGTATGCATAGACAGTTGGGACAAATAAAATCATGAATCCACACTGGTGAGAAACAACCCTTGGGATATGGAAGGTACCAGTTCTATGGTGCTTGCAGGACCCTGATTGGCGCTATCATGGGACATGCCCAAGCTTTGCAGCAAAGCAACTGGTTGACAAAGACAGAAGTTCCAAACTATTCGGAATCTGATTCCGCAGCACACCCGCATGCGCGCTTAGTGTGTTCGAGGGTCCACCCGTCAATTGGGCGATTGGCCAGGCTCATTGCTCGCATCTCTTCAAAGAGAATGCCGAAGGATGAGTATTGCAGCATCTCTGTACATAATCAGATATACCAATTACTAGGCGATCTCGCCCAATTCAGCATGGAGCTTTGTAGCTCTTCAGGAGCTCAGCGTTCCAGATGTATAACGTACCTTTTGCATCTTTTTTTTGCAGGAAAAAAGGGTCGTCATGGGTTGGGCATATTGAATGCTGACTGTCCAGCTGATATGACCTGACATCACCTGACTAGAAGTAGCAGGGTCCCGGGCATGCATCATCCTCGCTGGTCTTGAGCCTTGGGTGCCCCCATTCCGGGTTCCTGAGTCAGGAGGATTATGCCAGCATCTGAGATTTTGAAAGCATTGTCTTGCTTCAGCCGGGCGTGGCATTTTTCGTGGCTCAATCAAGGATAAAGTCCGTTTCCGTTGAATTCGTGGTCAATCCCGTCAATCCCCACTCCATTTGTTTCAGATGTAATCTGAGGATCGTAACAGATAGTTGGATGGGTTTGAGAGTTCTAATGAAGAGCGTCGAGGTCAATTGGGATGAATCTATTCATCTCTTCGCACTTCCGGGGCTTCCAAGGTCAAGGCAACGGGATTCTCGTGTCCCCTTTGCTTGGAAGAGGCTGGACGAAAGAGCAAATATTTTTCAATCAGCGGCTTTCAAGCCGCTTTCGCAAGAATCTTGGCAGCCCAAGCCCATGCAGGTAGATCTAGACGGATCCATTCAACTGGACTGTGACCATCGACTTTGTCAAGATCTCAGTGATTTGTCATTCTTTCAACCTTGTAGATTATTCATCATTATGTACTGATGTTGGTTTGGAGTGTTTTGCCTAGGTGAGGAATGCTTTTTAAACTACATCTCAGCCAAGATCGTTGATGGTCAGGTGACCGGTGTGGCGTGGGACTGACACATCGGACAGATGAAGGGGGAGTAGATGTGACCAGACCTCTCTGGGGAGCAACCGGATCGGAAAGCATACGTGTAAGTGGTGCTCGTTTGATGAATGTGCCGAATTCCTAATTCTTGACCGTTTGCCGTGACCATTATCGTGTTCCATTCGTGATTTCATTCGAGTCGCAACAGAGTCTGGACAAGTCTCCACAACATGTCGGGAACCCTCCGTGGACGTCGGAGCTACGACCTTCAGATGTGGAACCAGCATTTTTAATCATTTTTCACACACTTTGACCTTCAAAACGCGCAACGCTTGAGTGGGGTTGATCCCTTGTGTATGCAGCTTTGCTATTTCCAGTTTTGACAGGTCTGAGAGGTGCTTTTAAGACCTTCAGACCGCTTGAACGCGCAACCTTTGGGGCTTTGGACTGGACCATGTTGACCGCCTTGCGACCTCGGTGTCAGGTCGCTGCAGACGAACTCGTTTGCCCACTGCCTGGCTGCGGTGCCGAAATCACCGTGGTGCTCAGCTTAGGGCGTCCACGCATGTGCGACGGGCCCCCCAAAGCCGCAACAAGCACTGCAGGGCTGGGAGCACTTGGGTTGTTGCAATTGCATCAAAAGGTTGACATCCCTCGTTTGTCAATTCTGCTCATGTTTGGGAGTCGATTCTGCTTGCGTTCCGGGTTTTGCCTCACAGCCACATGAATGATAGAATTTGATGCAAGAAAAACCGTGTGAAAGGCGATCATGCCAACAACATTTTGACAAATTCTCAGCAGGTTTCGCCCTGAGTACGCCAAGACATACAAAGAATTGTGCTATTCATGACAAGAAATGGATTGGAGCGGCCCAGCTCATGTGGCGCTTCAGCCCAGGTGCAGACCCTAAAGTGAAGCAAACACCCCGCTGTATTGGAACATATTGGAACAATTGAATGACCCAAACATTCCCAAACAATTTATTATCATGACTTGAACCTACACAGCGTTGGGAAGGCCCAACAGCGTTTACACATTCAAAACCTCGGTTATTGTTTGAACATTTTTGAACCAACATATTTCCTTCATCATCATGCATCTATTACCTGCAACAATGATCATGTACAGGGCGAGCCAACGCAGCTGATGCTGCAAGCCATGCACATTGCTTGCTCTAAGTAGCAACGTGTAAGACAGGTCCAAATTTTTACAATTACAGTAAATATAACTTTCAAAAAACAACCAACACTAGTAGAGTAATAATTACTAATTACAGTAAACATAACTTTCAAAAAACAAACAACACTAGTAGAGTAATACTGGAGAAACAGTAATAACGTTGCCGGTTTCGCCATCCTAGGCGCAGGTGGAAGGTGCCACAAAGCTGACACCGCTCTGGGAGAAGTTCCTGCAGGTGTCGAGAGCAGCTCTGGGGAAGTTGGCATAAACTTTGCGAAATTGCTTACCCTGCCAATGCGCAATTATTTGATCAAAAGCATACAGGAGGCTGCCATTGGTTTGGGATAGCATTCTAGAGTCCAGAGGTGCAAGTCGCTGGAACATACTCATTTTGTTTGGTCGTCTCGTGTCATGCGAATGCAGCCTGCCTCGCGGCACAGTTTCGCATGGATCTCTGGGAATGTGGGGCTGATGGTCGAGTTGTAGTGTGCCCTTCTGAGCAGGCGGGCACAGTGGGAATGCCATGCAAACTTACTCCAACCAGTGCTCTGTGTGCACGAACTCCGCGGTTCACGTCTCATGGCACATGGTGCAAGTGCTGCTTGAGCAGCTGGAATAAGCAAGGATTGATTTGTCAGGGTGTACAGTGTACAATCTGTGAGAAGCCCAGAATGAGAACCTGTCAGTGTGGGAAGTTTCTCGTGGAGTTGAACACCGACTTTGTGAGATGCCCCAGGTGTGGCCAGGACGGACATGCGCTTCACTTCCATCAGCATCAGCTTTGGTTCTAGATATCTATATATACCCCTTTGTTACAGTCAGAATGTGGGTTTTCTGTTAAAGCATGCAGAAAGCAGATTCTGCCCCAAAACTGATAAGACAATACTGTAGCAAGTGATGATGTTCAGGACTTTTGCACCCGATGTGGAGGTGCGAAGCATGAGGGCGTATCTTGTGAATCCTTGAAGGCGGGCCCAGCGTGAGGACAGGGACATCGGTGTGGTTGAATGTGGCTATGCTCAGTAACATGCACAATGTTCGTAGGCTACTGTGGACTCCAAACTTAGACCCTTCTCCAACATGGTTTGGGCGAATCTTATTCTCCGTCAAAAGAGTTAGCCCGCAGGTGCAACGAGAAAGCGAAGAAAGCTTTGAGGACGCTTCCCTGCTATTCTGTTGTGGGATGTTGTGGGCGACCTACCATACACTCCAAAAGCAATGTGTTGAAGCTCCATGAGCAACCCTAGATATGAAATAGATTTGTAATGTAATGAATTAAGTATAATTCCCATTTCCTTTTTAGAGGGGAGAATGACCACCCTGCTATGATGTCAGCATCCAGGAGCTCATGGCTCAGCAGCAATGGAGGCGTTGTCCCAGGTGCAGCGCAGTATGTCAATGGTTCTGGCCAATGTTGTTTCATGATCACGCCCCTCCAGGTGCAATGCACCATCCGAAAGGGAGTCAGGGTGCAACTTCATGCAATGCAGGCGGAATTGGATTGATTGTACTTTGCCTCGCACTAGCTGGACACTTGCTTACACTTCGGGCAATCAAAGGGCTGAATGCTTTCAGCGTGCATCGGGTGCATCATTCATTTTGTGGAAGAGTCGTTTACCAATACAGTCGATTTTTATACAGACGACCATTGCCTTCAGACACTAGTCTTGGCAGGTCTGCAATTTGCCGCAAGCACACTTTTTGGTGCTATGTTTGCGGCCAGTGCCTGAGTATGTCTTGAACGATCAACTGGGAGTCCCTGACCAGCAACTGGTCGGAAGCGCACAGCTTTCCTAAGGAAAGGAGCTCTCAAAGGAAGAGCATTATTCACACTTTCCAAGGCACGGTTTCTCTGTCAGGGATCACCAGGGAAAGCGGACCTGGTTTTGGAATGTCGAGGGGGAGCAACACTGATTAGGGAGCTTTGGAGGGGTGTATCCATTGGTATCCATGTATCCCCCTAGTGTTGTGGAATCACAGCGTTAAGAAGGACAGCCAACAACTAGTTGCACAGGATCCCATCCCACAGATTCCCGCATCTATTGCACATTCACTGACTACATTTATCCAAATTTATTCATTTTGTGCATCACTTCCCCAGCTCTCTTGCAGATGAAAGTTCATCAGTCTGCACAAAAGTTTGCTGACCGACATGTCCACGGCAAAGCATGACTGTAACTGGAAAACATGCTGAAACCACAGCGCTGTCTCCGCAGCCGCTGGGCTGAGCTTTCCTTGACCGGGCACAGGGGGAGTTGGCAGGCACGAGTCGGGACTTGGATTATTAGCTCAGCAGGCAACAGTCATGGCGTGCCCAGTCATGGCGCGTGCAAAGAGAACCCATCCAAATATAAGCACCGAAAGATTGCTTGCTGGCACGTGCCAGCTGCTACGCTATCAGTGATAAGCCTATTGGGTTGCAGTGTCTGCCTCGCAGGGGCTTGGCCATGCCATGCGTGAAAGACAGCAATGTGTGCTACCCTTAGGTTCGCGGATGTGTGCTTGGACGACTGAGGTTCTCTAATAAAGTTTTGAATTGGGGTTGGCACATGTTGAAGGAATGAAGCCTTGAGGGGTTTGAAGTGCACGGAGGGCGCGCGCGCGCGGAAAAGCACGATCTGAAGCGTTTGGTCTGAACTGATTGAAGACACTGACTCTTTGGACCTTTTCAGCTGACTAGGGGAAGGCCAATTGCTTGGAACGAAACCATTTGGCTTTACAGACTTTCCAGCCGGGCCTTGGCCCAGTTTGGCAATCAGCCTCTCGTTGCTGCAAGTAGGTTTTGATATACACTCAACCTTGCAAAACTATTTCGTCATTAAATCTTATTACTGTAACTGTTCTGTTCATTATTCAATTTTTTTTGTGATAGTTCAGGCAGAAACTCTGCAGACGATGCGTGGAAAACATTTGATGGCTACTGAGCATGGGAAAGACCCATCAAATAGATTCAAATGGTAATGAACCACTTTGTGATTCGGCCCACTTTGTGATTCGGCCCACTTTGTGATTCGTCCTGGACGATGTTTGCGCGCTTTGCAAGAAAAGGTGCGTTTTTCTCTAATGCTTCTGAAATTATTTTGTGGGTTGGGGAGGTTCTGGCTTCTCATGCATAAATCAGACATTTGTGCTACCCTAACCTACCTAAGTGTTGTTTAAACGACAAATAGTTATATATCGTTTCCAGGAACCACAATTATTCATAAAATGTATCCACCTAAAACATATTTGTTGGTTTTGTGTGGAGGTGTGCAACGTAATAACTATTTTGGAAGTCCGCTGTTAAAGCTGGCTGTAAGCTTTGATTTTGATTATATATATATATTTATACACATGTTTTCTTTATTCCAGGTGGTTTGTTGGTTGGGAATGTAGTTGTGAAGTATATTCAGGAACATCAACATGCAACATTCATGATTCGTAACTTCCTGGAGTCTTTCAGGTATGCATCATCCATTGCCTTCGTGATGAGTTGAGCTGGCTCAATTTAAAGACTGAAACAAACCTGTGTGTCAAGTACGGAAAACACCCAACGACATGATTTGCTTGGAGTGTGGAGGGTCAGCCTGAGGGTGGCGAACAAACAATGGCGATTTTGACCTGTCAGGTTTCATTGCCTTTTGTGCTGGAGCTGCAGCCATCGGCAAAGTCGGGGAGGCTGGACATGGAACATTTGTCAAAGGCTGAGGTGATCCTCCTGACGAACACCTCTTTGGATAAGTCAGCGAGCTTGTAATCAGTTGTGATCATCAATTCTTCTAGTGAAAAACACACGGAATGCAACTCTTCAATTTGCATTGTAGTCGGACACATCCAATTAAAGATAGCTACTGTTAGTCGTTTATGTCCTTAGCATGCAGTTTCACAATTCAATAAGCTCCTGTAAGAAAACGAAGCATGTGAAAGTATTTGAAAACCTTTTGTGCCTCACTCCCATCCTATTTTTCCATGTCCTGGTGGCATTGATGTTCCCACAATGTTCCGAGCCTTGCTTTTGGTGCTCGGATGACCCGGCTCATCCGGAAAAAAGTCTATCAGATCATGTTCTTAGACCATGTTTGCACAGCGAATAATTAGCATATTGGATCAAAGCAATGCGACATGCAACACCGGGATCGGAACTCACCGTGTCATCACGCCGTTACGACACGGCGCCGGTGTCGAGGCCTTTGCCTCCATGGGCTCGGGCACCTCCCACGCCGCTTGGGCACGGATGACCGTGGGGGAAGCTCAGACGACATGCGGCCCAGAGCCGTGGGAGGAGATCCCGAGGAAGGAGACGGATTATAAGTTATATCCTAAAATATATTAATACAGCATATACAAGGGATTGTAAATACTATAATGGAATGTTTTGGAATGATTGGAAGGCATCCGAATCCCGGAATTGACCTCAGGTACCTCAGGTACTCGACCTTTAGAAAGCACCTGTGAGCGCACTTAGGTGATACATCTCGGCATCAGTGCATTCTTTAATCTCCTTTCCTTCTGTTGCATTTGCCAGGAGCTCGGCATCCCTTTCAAACAATGAGTTTGTTTCTGCTGCTATCCTCCACATTGTGTTGCCAGATGTAGAGATGGTGACAAAAGCTAGCAGCTATGGTAGCTGCCGCCTGCGAAACGAACAACATGGTTCAGCACATTCTTTGAAGATCAAGCCGAAGCTGAGGCCTTTCAACATTTCACTTCGAACAAGCCATGCGCTTTAGTTTGGCGCACACCATGACCACAGCGACGGCCTTTTGCGTCTTGCGCATCTGTGCCTTCGTGACCTTTCTGGTGCGCCCGTCGCTGTGACACAGTCGGTCTGGGAGAGAAGAAGGTGACACTTGGATGACTTGAGGGATTGTCAAGTGGTCAAAGTGGTCAAGCTTTCAGGTGAGCCGAGAGGTAAAAGAGGATTCTGAGATGCCCATTATTGCACGATGCGCTGATGCAAGAGGTACAACTTGCGTATTCATCGCTGATGATGGTGGGCATGACCACAGTCTTAACATTGGACTTTATTTGTCACATGGCTCATCCCTCAGATGCTGCACCATGCAAAAAGGCGAACTGTTAGCTCAGCTGGGGTTGCTGAAGATAACTGAGCTTGAGCTGGTGAGTCAGTCAGGAGACTACAATAGAATGCTTTGCCGTGTTCAGTGCAGGAATAGGAGTTTCTATGATTCCTACAATCTTTCATTTAGGATGCCTGGGACCCGCTTTTCCGATGTGTTACAGGTCTATTTTGTTTACAGCTAGCTTTTTTTTAGATGCAAGAGGGTCAATCAGCCTTAGCGCGCATTGTCTGCCACTTGCCTAGGGCAGTACCACTCGCTTCCATGCACAAGAAGTGATTTGGGAGATTGGCAACTTTACGCTGACAGGCTCGAACAGCACCCCTGACAGCGCTGTAAGTGACTGATGAAACCTTTGTTGACCTTCAAGCCGCTGCTCTGCAATGCCCTAAACCTATCTAACCACAAAGTCTGAAGGATACTGAGAAGTACACCATGCATCCTCCGGTCACCAGTCAGATTTCACTTCCCTCATGAAGAGTTAGTGCTTGCAGGAAGGGATCCCTTCGATCCATACTACACTGGCAGCGTGAGCGAGTCCCGCGCAGCAGATACAAAAATTGTGAGTGTCAGAGGCTTAGAGCCTTTGCAACACTTGGATGGGTGAGAATTGTGGTAACGCTGCGAACCAGTCTGCTTGGGACACACTTGGTGTTCGCAGTACCCCTTTCCTCACTTATCGGGTTGGAACACAGCTTCCAAGCTGAGGTGGCATCCATGATGCAGCACCTCAGCCTAGAGCGCTTTTGCCCTTTCTCAGAGGAGCATGATCCAAGAAATGATCACATGCTACGAAATAATTACTGGGTAATTATTGGCCATTGGAAGTCCGAGAGTTGACCTGATTTGAGTCATGAAAGCACAATACAGGAAAATACCTCAACCTATGAACATCCACATATTCGAGAACTGAGAGACACGTGTCCAAAAAGAAACAACGCCTAGAGCAGTGAAAAAACACGGCCTAGAGCTTATACAGACGCCAACCCCGACAGAACCTGGGACAGCAGCTCTTCATTTTCTGGCTGAGCAGCATCGTGTCACTGGTACCTTGGTATCAAGTGGTGCCTAGCTGAAGCACAGACAATGGCTAAAGATCCAACGACTCATAGCTTTTAGTTCATGCCAACTGTAGGGGCCATCCCCTAATTCTTAGTTCTTTACTAGCATAGAACATAGACCCCCATTGAAGTCCTCATTTTTGTTACTAGTAGCGATGCCCTTGTTACTAGTAGCGATGCACTTGTTACTAGTAGCGATGTTTTAATATGTCTCATCAATCTGTCCGGAAATCCTGCCGAGGTGAGCCAGGCCTTGATGGCCATTGCTTTGAACGGCGAAAAGGAGCGGATCTCCTTGCACGAAGAGCACGTGTGGAGCCCCGGCTCCGAGGATGGAGAGGTGATGAGAGGTGATGAGGTGAGAAGAAACACGTCGCTCCAGGAACTGGGGAGTTCCGTTCAGACGATCTTTGTCTGGATAATTATGCATTATGTATGAGTAGGTATGATATGCACACAAACATGAGACAAGAGAGAAGGGAAATTATTTGGACACCCTTGTCCAGAACCAGCGAGCCAGAGTCTATTTTCGCTTTGAGACAGAGCCAGTGTCTGGTGCAGCTCAGTCTTGCCTTGTGCCGAGGATGAGGTGCGTGCAGCACTCGGAACATTTGCGTTCATCCAGAGATGTATCTAATGGAAAGGGATATGGTAAAACATGGTCTTAAACTCCCAGTTGTGGGGATGGCTGGCACTGGAAGACATCCACAAACTATTACACATTCTTCAGGATCAAAACAGGAACTCAACCCTCAGAGTCTGCTGAGGAGGCATTTCGGCACTGGTCCGATGCCCAGGATTCAGATTCAGGTGGGTTGATCATTCCAAAGATTGACAGTTATGGCCTTACTGGTCTCCACCTGGACCAGCACTCACACTAACGCTTCATGTTATATAACCAAGTTTATTGCGAACCATCCCACATCCTAAACTTTGATGTTCAAAGGCTGCAGGCTTTCTACAAGGCTAGATTGGTAGACCAGAGTTTTCCAAGTCTTGTGTTTCTCAAAATAAGATTTCACGGTGTACATTGTACATGGTGTTCGCCAAGCAGCCAAGGCACCCCTTGTAGGCTCACCAGGAGGTTCGCCAAGATGAACATCAGTGGTCAAATCGGCCATGGCCAATGAACTTGCCCCCTGCAAGTGGACACAAGCCCAAAAGCCTCAACAAAGCTGTTTTGATAGTTACAGCAGTCAGACTATGACCTTTTGCAGGGGAAAAACTGCTTTCACGTAGCTAGGTCAGGGTCCAGAAAGCACCTTGGAGGGCTGCCAATGCTGCAGCCCACAAGTGTTGAATGGCTGCCAATGTTGCGGCTGGCGGGCTTGCTAGTCCTCCTGGTCCTGATAGCATTTGATACCCCAAAAGCGTGCCACATAGTTCGGACTCTATGCAGAAGATGTTTGTACTATGGTGTGCAGCACATCGAATTCTGAATGCACTTCAACCTGAGATCTGTTTTGCTCATGTACTACAGATGCTTGGCACCGCAGGGGTCCTTACGAGGATGAATGCGTACAGATGACGGTGCTGAACTTGGATTGATTGGCTGACAAATCCTGGAACACTGCGCTGAACAGTGGAGCTTCGCAGAGTGATTTTGATAGCCATTTCTTTGAGGAGCCAAAGCCAAATGGCCCGAACGTGGACAGTGGACTTGCTGGCTGCTGAGTATTCTTTGTAAGACCAGCAAAGAAGGGTGTGTGTGCGTGTGTGTGTGTGTATACATATGATTCATGATATTATTTCTGTGCAAGAATGAAGTTTGCCTTGAAAAACTGTGCAAGGTATCCTTGATGGATTTTCCATCGCTAAGCCGGGGCTTTTTCATCACGTGGTGTGATTTGCAGAGCACCGTATCCCTTTGCTTCGAGGCCCCGCAAGGCGGCCAGAAGCTGAGAACGAGGATGACAGGAAACCTCCGGCCGCACCGAGGTTACTGAGATGGTCAAATTGATACTGGTACAACCTGAAACAAAGCGAATTTGAAAACAAAACCAGTCAAGTCAAGTATAATCAAGAATCATACTCAGTGAGCTTCAGTCAAGTTCCTGGTACACCTAAAACTGTCGATCATCACTTTTGCCCAGCAGTTCCGTTTGCAGTCACCTGCAGTGTTTGCAGTTTCTTCCACCTTGAGGTGCCGGTTCAGCGATTGCTGCCGCAGCAGAGGTTTCGGACTGTTGCTTGCAATGAACATGGCTATGAGAGACATGGGGTAAAGTAGTCAGAAGCCTTGAAACGTGCTTACAATTTCATCGGCTATCAGAAGTTCAATGGATTTGTTCGCATCAGCAAGTTTGTTTTTCGCTGCCAGGCTGGAAGCGCGCTCCTGGGAGCCTTGCGTGGGTTGTTGCCAGAAAATGGAGCTCTGAACTTGCTCAACTGAGCGGCTCTTTGTGCTTTGCAACTGCCTCAGTTGCTGTACGTTGCTGTGCTTGTGCATTCAGGGTAGATGAACAGTTGACAGGCTTAGGGTGCCGTGCTTCCATGCGTTACTTTTCATATCTTGCCATTGAGTCATTGGTTTATTTGGAGGAACTCGCAGCGTTGTGGTGCTCAGTGTAGTTCTCATTAGGTTGCAGTAGGTGATCCACGGGAAATCTGTGGTGAATCGATGGCAAGTTCCGGTGAGATTGCTACGATGCCAGATGTTGAGATGGCTGGGGAGAGCCAAACACTCGATATTACCAAGGCTGGAAGGGGTACAGAAGTGAACCTGGTAAACCTGTTCAATTTGTTTCGTAACACTCACCTTCTGGACTTGGCCTCAAACAGCCACTTCTGATTGCTTCGTGTGGTCCCAAAAAGCACTGGTTTCGTCCTCAACACTCTGACGTGCGGACGGCTCAGGCCTCTCTCCGACGACTCAGTTCGAAGGCCCCACCATCCACAACATACCTGGCACACGTGGAGTGGACTGAGGAGGAATGGAGCGTGCTTTTTCCGATTGTATTGGCGCATTCAGGTCAATTCAGGTAGATTTGTGCTGTTTGATTGTTGCATTTCAGCTTTCACCATCTCACTTCCCAATCAATCTTTGCTTTCACCTCAGAGAGTGACAGGAACGCAAAGAGCGTGGGAAATTGCTAAGCAAAGTCTCGCGCACACTACCTGATGCACCGAAAGCAGCCAGGTGCAGCGGGGTGTGATGTTTTTTTTTTGCCAGTTGGGCCTCCCTGTCCCAAATATTTGCAAAGGCTTGATGAGATCAAGCGTTAGTTATCGTCGGTTCATTCAGTGGTACTTGGCATTTGACAGGCAAGAGCCCATGCAATGCCAATGTTGGGTGAGTTTCTGTCCCAGTATACTGAGCGTTGGCCTAGTACATGCATTTAAGTTTTGATCATGGCTCTTTTTCTGCCCACTATGGAGGTCCTCATGGCTGATTTTTTGCAATGACTATTGCGCGAAGAAGAAGGATGGCGTCTACATGGAGATCTTGGGAGAAGCTGGCAAAGCTTGGGCTGCCCTGGATGCAGCTGAAAGGGCGTCTTATGACGAATTGGCATCTGCAGAGAAGGAAAAGATTGAAGCCGAGTCTGAGGCCGGGACGTCCGGGATGAACATGTCTCAAACCAAACAAAACGTCTTCCGTCTTAGGCTCATGGTCGCTGATTCTTTTGTTGAACAAGTTAAAAGGAGTGCACTGGCCATCCAAGGAGTTTAAACAGACTGATGCCTACAAGAACCTGGCGCTGGAAGTTGACAAGTTTCTTCTGGTTAACCGGGCTCGACAGCACATGGACAAGGATGAGCTCAGCTGGAAGCAGTTTCAAGCACAGCGAAAGGTGGTGCTCCCCAAAGGAGAGGCTGCAATGTCCAAGTCTGAAGCAAAAGCAGAAGCCAATTGTATCAACAGGATCGCCTTGAAGCTTGCTGCTGCTGCCCGCAAAAAGTCTACTGGAGATGCGTTGCCTGTTCCGCCAAAGTCAGCCTACGCCGCTTTGATGCTAGCTGCAGAATGCTGTGTATAATATACCCATTCACTGCCAAGTTTTCTTTTGTTAGGGGTTGTGGTGATTGGATCTCTTCCCGATGCACATAATGATGCGAATCCTGGGAGTTGGGGCCAGTAAGGCACTCTATTCCAGTGAAATTATGTCAAAAGAAATGAAGGAGAGCACAGAGAAGAAAGGCGCAGGCTACCTCAAAGCTCTTTTGAAGCGTGTTGCTGAAGGCTGGGGAAGTCTAAATGAGGAGCAGAAGTCCGGCTACAAAGCCACAGCCGCTGAAGACTCCGAGCGTCATGCCACCGAGTTCAAGGCCTTCAAAGAGTCTGAGGCGTATCAAGGCTTTGTGAAGAAAGCTGCGGAACTCTACAAAGAAAGCAAGGCAGAGTTGTTTCAGAGTGAGATCCGACTGGGCAAACAATAGCATCACCAAGCAGACTCGAATTTTATCCCGATTTTGTGTGACTAGCCGATGCACTTTGCCAGGCAGATCAAAAGCCGGGAGAAGCTCCAAAACCCATCGCTCAGCTCATCAAAGCGGCTGAAGCAAAGGCGCGAGAGAAGGCGAAGGCAGAGAAGAAGCGCTCCTCCATGCAGATGAAGCTTCTCAGCTTAGTGTACCGCAAGCCAGTCTTTGAATTCCGGCTTTTCTTGGACCGGAAGTTGAGGCTTTGCTGTTTGTGCGAATCTTTAATATCTTTGGAGGTGTAGCTTCAATGTGAATTCAGAGTCCAACTTGTCATCCCCAGGTTGGTGTCCTGCGTCAAAGGTGGTGAAGGTGGCCGCCCCAAAGCTCCAGTGTCAGCCTTCATGCTTTTCTGCAGCGCCAAGAGGGAGAAAGTGGCCGAGGAGGTCGCCCAGAGCACTGAGAGCGCGAAGAAAGGAGAAGATGAGGAAGATGAAGCGCCGGAAGAACCTGAAGAGCCGGAAGATGATGTGGACGAGGATGAGGATGAGGATGAGGATGACGAAGATGGCGGCAAGAAGAGCAAGAAAGGCAAAAAGGGCAAGAAAGCCAAGAAAGGCGGCAGCAAAGGTGGTATGGCGGCAATGGCAGCCATCGTGAAGAAGCTGGGAGCCATGTGGGCCTCAGCTCAAGCCGAAGAGAAGGCGACCTTTGAAGCGGAAGCTGCGAAGCAGAAGGAAAACTATGCTGCCGCGATGAAGGCATGGTATGAGTCGGACTCCTACAAAAGCTTTGCTGCCGAAGTGGATGAGTGGCAACAAACAGAAGAGGCGAAAACCACCAAGAAGCCGGGGAAGAGCTTTCGTGCTTGGCGCCGGAAGAAGCTTCAGGGCAAGCGCCTTGCCCAGAGGCAGGCCGATCGTGAGCGTGCCAAGGCTGAAAAGATGGCAGCCAAGCTGAAGGCAAAGGCTGAGAAGGGTGGAAAGCCTGGAAAAAAGGCCAAGGCAGAGCATTTCCCCGCTCTCTTGTGTTTTGATGGGTCTTTGTGGCCTATGATTGATCCTATGATCCTACGCAGTACAAACATGCATTGCATATATGTGCATGCTTGTCAATGCTTTCAGCTGTCCTGGGACTTAGATCTCAATGATGAAACATGATGACACTATGCAACCTGTTTTGCCTGAGTACTGTGCACTGGAGTCTAGAGGATTGGCAGGAACCCAACTTCCTTGCAGGAAACGCCCCCCAGACTCATTGAGTTGATCTTTCTCCATGCCAGGCTGGCGAACCTGAGGAGCCTGTTGTATTGCCAGAGCTGCTGCAGAAAGATCCTTTCTGGGACACTTGCTTGGACTCCCCGGAGGCCAGCTTTTTCATTTTTGGAATGCTGTGGAAGCAGGGTCGCTTTTTGCGTAGCTCCGAAGAGGTACTTGCTTGCCCTTACCTGGGTCCCTGAGTACGTAACTCTATGTCACTATGTGATCTCTACTCTTCCGCAGATCTAAGAAGGCAGTCTTCCCATAGCCAAAGAACAGGGGCACCCCTAGAATGAAAAGTTGTGGGATTTTTTGTTTAAATTTTCCTCAGCCACCAAGACGTTTAAAGAGCCCACATGAGTCCACAGTGTGGAGTCTCCTGCAAAACACGAGAGTGTGAATGTACCGTTTGCAAAACACGGCAGCGAACTGATCGTTTTCCGGGCAGTTCTCCGGAGACGGGTGGTCCGGTCGTCCGAAACTCAGAAGTTGAAGACCTCGAGGTAACACCGTATTGAGCAAGCAACTCATCCACTTAAAGACCTTCATAGACCTCAGCAAGTGTTTGCTGCTCGTAAGTTTGCCCCGGAGATCCATAGGCCACCTTGACCTCGGCCGATGTGATGCTGGGTGATCGGGTGGCGCTCGCCGCTGCAAAGCAGGGAGGCAGGGTCACGGTGGATTCATGGTGGATTCATGGGATCTCACAAACTCATTGGTATGCTTTGCCTTGCAGACCCCACGGGTTTTCAATGGTGTTCAAGTTCTCAACCCTTTGTGAGATTGTCAAAACGAATCCATGATCAAATCAAGAGTCAAGAGCGATGAGGTTGTTGACACAGGGGGACACTCTCAAACAAACCAATGTGGTTGCTCGCTTGTTGCTCACCAGAATGTCCCTTGTTGGCGAAGTGATTTAAGTTGAGAGAGAGAAATTGATAATCCCTCCCAAGCCAAGCCACCTCCTTATTCGCTATTAAGTTTTGCAGACTACGGCGGCTTTCAATCTCCTACGCTTAAGCCACCACATTTACTATATATGAATGAGACCAGTCTGTCCGGCTTCCTTTTTGTTAGGCCACGCGGAAGGCAGTGTGCAGGAATGCAGGTTTGCAGTTCTTTGTGCTGCGCGTGCTTTTGTTTCAGCAACATTTGTCATGTCTCAAGATATCTGGCTTTGGCACCAAAGCCAAACCGAGTGGGTTAAAACCGTTTACAAATTAATCCTGGGAGGCTAATGAGTCAAAGTTGCAAGCACCGATATTCTTGAAGAACCAAAATCCCTCATCGCTGCAAGGTGCCAAAGGTCTCGAGGCTCTGAAGTGGCTTCAGAGGCAGCCCGAGAAGGCATCCTCCTTCTTTAGAAAGTCCTCAGCAGATTGTCAGGAGAGCAATTGAACGTGACTGAACGTTTCTGTCTTTTTCCCAGGGTGCTTCTCACATGCAACATTGGTGAAGAAGTAGCATGGGTCTTCTGGAAATTGGAGAAGAAGTGAAGCAGAGCTTCGTGGTCTGGAGTGTTAATCTTTTATGATACGAAGCATGGACTGCACACTGCCCTGGGAGGAAACCGCGCTCCACCATGCCTTTCTTCACCAGGATTTGGAGATGATACAGATTCTCGCAAAAGAGGCCAACCGAAGGAACAACGGAGATTATGTCCGGGGCAGTATCAAGGACGGGATCATGACCTTTGAGCTCAAGCCTGGTGCGCAGATCTGGTTTTGGCCTCCCAATGGGCAGAAGATGAACTATCGGACTGGTCCTTCGGAGCAAGATGGCTTTGTGCATGCCAAGGACAAGACCACTCCAGCATTGTCTCCAGGAGATTTAGTTCGTGTTCGAGAACTTCGTGGTTCCTGGATTCGAACCGATGAAGGTTGGGTGCCACTGAACAATGGTGGAAGCAACTTGGTTGCAAGTCAACTTTCTGACGTCACACAATTGAACAATGATTGATCTACAAGTCAATTGGAAGAGTTGACTTTGCTGGGCTTCTTCCCTTGTAGGCTGCCCAAGGTTGCTTCCAACTTGAACTGCCAGTCCACTGAGTTGGCTGAAGACAAACAGAAGCTTCTCGCGTTTCTTTCGTGCCGGTTCAGAACTTGCTTCCCTCGCTTCCCCTTTCGAAAACAAGCTGTTGCTTCCCCTTTCAGGTCAGAACTTTGTGCACAGCGACCCAGCCCTGTGGGTGAACCGAGTGGCTCTGGCTCCACCTGAGCTACAGCCGGTGTCCACGGGCTTCGCACGGGGCCGGGCCTTCCGGGCGAAGAAGCTGCGGAAGGTGAAGCTGAGCCGAGGTGGAGCGGAAGGCAACCAAGCCTTTGTGAAAGACATGGAGGTGGGACGAGAATGCTCATGATGAAAGAGGAAGAAAACATATGTATATCTCAAATATAGTAGAATAAATATCATCTTGAATTGAATATATAATAGTATCATAGGAGCACTTGACATCTTAGTAACAAAGCTAGAGGGGTCCTTTCTTCCCTGGTTGCCACCCTGGCGTGCCATCTTTTTCGCTTGTGTGTTCACTGGTAGGGGCCTTTGGATAGAAGTTCACTTGATTGGATGAAACAAGCAAAAGTAGACCAGACCTTGTCCTTCCCTGCAGGATGAAGACAACTATAACCAACCCAGGATGAGGCTTGATCAGGCCATGCAGTGGGCAATCCGGCGAGGAATGGACTTCAAGACGTTAGCTGCTTGCTGTGAGATGCTCGTGTGAAGCTGGTAGTCCTTTTTTGAAGGTCCTGCACACTCCAAGTTTGCTTCCTCTTGTCCCCGGTTTGCCTCTTTAGCTCTTGCAATGTGTACATCCCCATTCTTCTCGCCCCGGACATGCCCCATCAATGGCTTTATCTCAACCAAAATTACCAGTGCGCAAACCACATGAAGCCCATCTGGGCAGACTGCAGACCGTAAGGATCTTCTCGCAGAATCAACCCAGTGATTTCCTGGGAGCTGCGGTGCAATGTGGTCGTTGGCAGCTGGCTGGAGACCTTATCAGCCACATGGGAGTGGGCGATTTGCTTCTTTTCTGCAAGTAGAATCCTCCCTCCTCCTTGCGTAGAGCATTTAGCAAAGCCGTTTTGTAGTGCTCAGACATTTCTGCTAGCGCCCGTCGCTCCCCAAGAGTGCTGCTCTATATTTTCCATTGATTTGATGAAGCAACTGCCTAAGGTATGGTCTGAACCAACAGCATCGGGTGGCTTTGCTCCAGGCGCCCAGCGAAGCCGAGCTGGCTGACTGTGTGAAGCGAAAGGCTTCGATCACCAAGAAGGCTGTGGATAACTTTGAGATCATGCCGATTCATTGTGCTTGTATCAATCCAGCCTGTGGCAAGACTATCCTGGAGATGATGTTGGCACCACTGGGACCTGCTGCTGAGGATCTGTGCAAAGACTCCGAGCAACGGACCCTGGTCCACTATGCAGCAGTGTGTGAGTCGGAGCAGCCCTTGGAAGTGCTTCTAACCACGGGATTCTCCCCACATCGAGCGAGCAATCAGGGCATCACTCCATTGATGTGTGCATGTTTGGCCAATCGCCCCAAGAACGTGGCTCGGCTCCTCTCAGCCAAGGCAGATCCATTGGCGCGTGCCAATGAACGCACCAGCTTCCACTGGTCGGTGCAGAACGGCTGTTTCGAGGCTCTTGACGCACTAGTGAAGCATATGGCGACCCTAGCTGCGGAGATGCCCCCGCCGGTCAAAGGGAAGAAGGGTGGAAAGAAGCCGAAACCCAGCTCCTTAGAGCATTCTTCACCGCTGAATTCGACTGTGTTTTCTTTCGCGTGGAAATACATGCGACTCTTTCTTTGCCCGGAATTACGCATAAAAACACAGTACACCTCTACACGCACAAACAGTTACTAATCAATTGGAAAGTCACTCAATAGATTTATCCAATTTGTTTATGCCTTTGAATCGTACTTCAAAACCTTATACTGTACACGAAGGCTGGCAGCTGGCCACGTCATCTTCTCAGCGGAATGCTTTGCATGATGCCTGTGCGGTTGGGCGCTTAGACATGGCGATGATGCTGTTGGAGGATGCTCCCGGAGCGCTGCACAAGTGCGACAAGCAGGCAGCTGTTCGGGAACTATACAAATAAACATCAACTAACATATAACCCTTCATGGTTATAAGATGTTAAGTTGCTTATTCTACAGTACCTTTGTTTATAAAAGCGTTAAGTAATTAATTATCGGGACTTTCCTCAAAATATATCAAACCAACAGGGCCGCTCACCGCTGACCTTCGCCGTGATGAACGGGCACACCTTGCTGGCCTCGCACCTGATTCATCGCAGAGCCCTTGTGGAACAGAACGACAGCTCAGGGAATAGTCCTCTTCACTATGCCTTGGCCTATGGCTGGGGAGAAGCTCAGTAGCACTGATTGGGCCCAAGGTCCAAACGAACGGAGCTGTCCTATTTTTTGGAGTGTGTTGTTCATGCCTCTGTTGGTTTCGGAGCATTTGTTGGTACCTCGCGAGCCATAGGACAGCGTCATGAGATCTCTTTAAGATTCTTTAAGCAAGGGATTAGATAAGCTACCAGGCCACTCCGCTCTACCGTTTTGCAGACCAGTTAACTTAGAGTGTCGTTTGCTTTCAGCTTTCAGTCCGTTTGCGCGTGCGTTTGCTAGGAGATGGCGAAGCTCCTGGTGGATTGCGGTCACGATCCAGATATGCAAAACAAGTGGCGCAACTCTCCAGTTGATGTGTCTCTTCTCAAGGGGCATGCTGGCTTGGCATCTTGGTATGTGTCAGAATGCCCCATCCAACCAAACAACTTGGATGAGAAAGGCCGGACTTTGCTGTCACGAGCGTGTGCCAACCTCGAGAATCAGATCTGGCGGAACCTGTTAAAGGCATTGGTAGAGAAGCGAGGAGCTGATGTGAACCTCCCGGATGGACAAGGAGATTTGCCCATTTGCCTTGCTGCCCTTGCCTGTTCCAGGGAGGCAAAGAATGAGGAACTCAACGCTTCTTTGAAAATTCTGTGCGCCGCGAAAGCAGATGTGGGTCGTCGTGCGGAGAAGGGACAGTTCCAGGGTCAGTCAGCTATATCGATCGCTTTGAGGCTTGGCTGCAAAGGTCACTTAATCCCTAGTAACAAAGGGCATCGCTACTAGGAGGAGCAAGGGCCTTACTACCAGGAGCAAGAAGCTACTAGGAGCAAAGGTCACTTAATCCCTAGTAACAAAGGGCATCGCTACTAGGAGCAAGGACGCTGCTAGGGGCTCCTGGCCTTACTGCTAGGAGCAAGGGCCTTACTACTAGGAGCAAGAAGCTACCAGGAGCAAAGGTCACTTCATTCCTAGTAACAAAGGGCATCGCTACTAGGAGCAAGGACGCTACTAGGGGCTCCTGGCCTTACTGCTAGGAGCAAGGGCCTTAATACTAGGAGCAAGAAGCTACTAGGAGCAAAGGTCACTTCATTCCTAGTAACAAACGGCATCGCTACTAGGAGCAAGGACGCTACTAGGGGCTCCTGACCTTACTACTAGGAGCAAGGGCCTTACTACTAGGAGCAAAGGTCACTTAATCCCTAGTAACAAAGGGCATCGCTACTAGGAGCAAGGACGCTAACTAGGGGCTCCTGGCCTTACTGCTAGGACCAAGGGCCTTACTACTAGGAGCAAGAAGCTACTAGGAGCAAAGGTCACTTCATTCCTAGTAACAAAGGGCATCGCTACTAGGAGCAAGGACGCTACTAGGGGCTCTTGGCCTTACTGCTAGGAGCAAGGGCCTTACCACTCGGAGCAAGAAGCTACTAGGAGCAAAGGTCACTTCATTCCTCGTAACAAAGGGCATCGCTACTAGGAGCAAGGACGCTACTAGGGGCTCCTGGCCTTACTGCTAGGAGCAAGCGCCTTACTACTAGGAGCAAGAAGCTACTAGGAGCAAAGGTCACTTCATTCCTAGTAACAAAGGGCATCGCTACTAGGAGCAAGGACGCTACTACGGGCTCCTGGCCTTGCTGCTAGGAGCAAGGGCCTTACTACTAGAAGCAAGAAGCTACTAGGAGCAAAGGTCACTTCATTCCTAGTAACAAAGCATCGCTACTAGGAACAAGGACGCTACTAGGGGCTCCTGGCCTTACTACTAGTGGCAAGGGCCTTACTACTAGGAGCAAGAAGCTAGCAAAGGTCACTTCATTCCTAGTAACAAAGGGCATCGCTACTAGGAGCAAGGACGCTACTAGGGGCTCCTGGCCTTACTACT